GTAGAGGCAGCGTTGCGTCTCCTTGGCTTCCCTTTACACGAAAGGCATCCAACAGTTTCTCACCTTGCTGTGCACTTATAAAATGGAGAGGGTGTATATTTCACCGAAATTTCCAAGAAAGAATTGCATCATCGCCAAAAACTACACTAACAGCCTTCTTTCAACTTTGTCAAACCGACCCCTTGGCAAAAACGTTGTTATAATCTGAAGTCCCCCGTTATTATACTTGGAACACATCTAGGAAGGAGTGGAAACGCCGTATTCAAGGCGCGCCTGTTGCAAATTGGCCCGGTGTAAAGTCATCAGATGCCCTTAGTCGTGTGTATACCGTCCATGTAACTAATTTTGAATGTTTCTGTTTACGATTGCTGCTGCACCATGTTCGGGGTCCTACAGTATATAAAGACCTTAAAACTGTCAACGGTCAGGAATGCGCAACTTATAGAGAAGCATGTGAAGCTCTGCTTCTTTTAGAAAACGATAATCACTGGGATGAAACTATGGAGGAAGCTGTGCAGTGCCAATCATCAGCCAAAATTAGGGATCTTTATGCAACTCTCGTATCATCTTGTGGGCTATCTAATGCACATGAATTGTGGGACAAATATAAAGAGTACATGGCGGAAGATCAGCAGACACACGCGAAAATGACATACGAGTACAATGAACACATTTATAATGAAGCACTTGGAAAAATTGAAGATAAAGTAATGGCAATGGTAGGCAAAAAAATTAAGCGACTTTGGAATGATAAGCCCTCAGCGAACAACCGAAAATGAACTAAGTGATGAAATTATACGTGAAACAAACTACGATATACCAGCTTTGCAGCAGCAAGTAGCCGAATTTGTACCCCGCTTGCTTCTCAAACAAAAACGAGTTTTTGACAAAGTATTAGGACAAATTGAATCTGGAAATGGTGCACTTTTCTTTTTAGATGCCCCTGGAGGAACTGGGAAAACATTTTTGTTAAATTTATTATTAGCGCAAGTACAGAAATATAAAAACATTGCTGTGGCCGTAGCTTCCTCCGGTATAACCGCCACGCTGCTAAGCGGGGGCCGCACTGTACATTCTGTTTTAAAACTCCCTCTAAATCTAGCCCAGGAAGAATCGCCGATCTACGACTTTAGCAAAAATAGTGCACGAGGTATAATGCTACGACAATGCAAACTTTTAGTGTGGGACAAAAGTATAATGTCGCATAAAAAAGCTGTAGAAGCACTAAATCGAACGCTCCAGGATTTGCGCAGCAATACCGATGTAATGGGAGGAATGGTGGTTTTACTGGCTGGTGACTTTCGCCAAACTTTACCTGTCATTCAAAAGGGCACACCTGCAGATGAAATTAAAGCATGCCTCAAGTCGTCTATTTTATGGAACAAGGTGACAAAATTCAGCTTAACTACGAATATGAGAGTGCATTTGTATATGATATCAATGCTGGAAACTATGCTGATACACTATTAAAAATTGGCGATGGGCGTTTGGAAACGGATGCTGAGGGCTGCGTTAAATTGACGAGAGATTATTGTAATTTAGTACAGAGGCATTCCGAATTAATTGCGAGCGTTTATTCAGATTTAACGAACAACATGCATGAAGAATGGTTATGTGAAAGGGCGATTCTTGCACCAAAAAATAAGAGCGTTAATATAATAAATTCAGATATATTATTTATTTACATAGACACAGTTATGGACACAGAACAGAGCACTTCATATCCCGTAGAGTTTCTAAATTCTCTAGAGTTGTCAGGTATGCCCTCACTTAAGCTCAATTAAAATTAGGCGTCCCAGACATACTAATGCGAAATTTAGATGCTCCTCGGTTATGTAACGGGACAAGGCTGCGTGTGACACATCTTGGACGGAACATATTCGGTGCTACAATTTTGACAGGCGTAGGAAAAGGTGAAAATGTTATTATACCACGGATCCCTATAATTCCCACAGATCTTCCTTTTCAATTCAAAAGGTTGCAGTTCCCTATTAAGCTCAGTTTTGCAATGACAATTAATAAAGCGCAAGGGCAAACGTTACAGGTAACGGGGGTCAACTTAGAAAAACCGTGCTTCTCTCATGGTCAGCTGTATGTAGCATGTTCGCGTGTGTCAAATGCCCAGAATCTCCACATTCTTTCCCCGAATGGAAAAACATATAACATTGTGTACAGTAGCATCTTAAAATAGTGTTCAGTTACTTTTTTTTCCAAAATTCCCACAATCAATTAATTAGAATTCCCACAGATCTTCCCTTTCAATTCAAAATTTCCTATTTAGCTCAGTTTCTTTTCAATTCCAAATGCTGCACCTCTGACGGACCTATTAAGCACAGTTTCCTTTCAACTCAAAAGGCTGCATCTCTGACGGATCTTTTATTTGGCTCAGTTTCCTTTCAATTCAGAAAACTGCATCTCTGACGAATCAATTTAGCTCAGTTTCTTTTCAAAAGTCTGCATTCCTGACATATGCTCAGTTTCCTTTAATTAAAAAATATCCCATTTCCATGTGGAATAAACAGGCTATTTTCATGCTTTCCTATACGCTGCGTTTCAAAACTTTTAAATAGGCTGACGAATCAATTTTGCTCAGTTTCCTTTTAATGGCTGCATCTCTGACAAATCTATAAAACTCAGTTTTCTTTCAATTCAAAAAGCAATGGATAGTTCATTTCCCAGTGGCCATGCGGGCGAAGCCGCGGGTAACAGCTAGTCATATTATAACTTACACACTTTAATTAAATTCTGGTCAAAAGCAAGCCTATCTACTATATAAAAACACAGTGAGAAAATTTAAAATACGATCATATTTAATCATACAAACCTTAATTGTATAAAGTGTTAGGACAGCATTACGAAACAATTAGGTTCTTGTCCTTTTTCAGACTAATAAATTCCTTTCAAAGTGCCTGGAGCAAAGTCGAGAGTATTTAGTTAGCTCCCAATTCTTCTTACCCGTAGCTAAAACCCATTTTCTTTTTATTTCCGAATTAATTGGGAAACTAACGAATAAAAAAATCAAGATTAAAAATTACGTAAAAAATTACGTAATAGTCACGGGTATATTAACACAATGGTAAATATTTAGTATAATACATTAGGTATTCTAGCTGCAATTTAAATACATTATCACGGAACAAGTTTACTTACGCGTGAAATGTAATGCCTTCAATTTTTCGTTCACTGTGGCTTTTACAGCCTATAACATTGCACGACACCATAATAAGATATAGATCAAATTTTTTCTAGCTTAAAACGTACAATTAGCGAGCTTTATTTGCAAATAAATTTTAAAACAAATTATAATCACGAAACACTCCGTGACAGTTGCAGTGTCTGCCACTAAATTTAATGCCAATCGGCTTGTTATGTCGCACGTACGGGAATGAGGACAACAATTTAGTAGCTATTACCGGGATGATATTTTTTTGAAATCGTGTGTTTTGGAAATTATATTTGTATAAAAATTACGTACATGAAATATGAATAGGTAATATTTTTGATCTTACCGACATAATAGAAAAAACTAAACTTTTATTTGAATAAAAAATGCCATCAAAAACATAACTTGTAAAAAAAACCAAGTCCCGCAACTCAGTTCTTCTACCGTAAAAAGTTGTGAGATCCATGTAATACCAAGTTAGTTAATTTATTTATTCCCCACTTAGATATCCTTCTGTTTTAAGTTATTACGTAATTAGCTAACCTAATAACATTTTATACTGACCCTATCAATGTTAAAAATCTTTTATGTTTTAAATATATTTTTTTACAAGTTATGTTTTGATGGCATCTCATTTCTTTTTGTAGATAAGAAGATTTGTGGGAGCAAGTGGTGATAATCCATGAAGTACCACATCAGCGACAGAATCCGCAACAACGTTGGGATCGTCCGGCGAGAGGCAAACCCGCCCCCAAGGGTAGGATGCAAAGAAAGACCGCATCCCATCCCAATCGGCTTACCTGTAGTGCCAAATACGGCGGCAGCCTTGTGAACTCGTACTTGTGAACCGGTCCACTTGTGGTATTTATTACTCAGTATCTACAGCGAATAACGCAACAAAGGCAATATTTACAGAATCGGTAATTAATTTTCAACCGATTCGCATTGGCTTCAATTTTCTCAGATCAAAATTTTACATGAAAAACGTATATTTCTACTATTTCGCGGCGTAAAACATTTTTTGTTTTTTATAAATAATGTTATTAACTGTCAATTTTTTACTTGAGATTACAAAAAATTTTAACGATTCCGCTATTATCTAATTATTTTCCGATACGATTCAAACAAATTATTCGTATACATCGCGTAGTCATAGAGTAGAGTAATATCAAATACTCTAGAAAACCTGTGGGTTTTAAAAAGTATTTGGTATTGGTCTTGGTATTGGTAATATAATATCATAGATAAATAAATATGTAGTATAATCGTAGACAGAGAAACCTATAGACAAATTGACGCCTTCTTTCGCATTCGCACACGAAAAAGATAGATTTATGCATACGTCTTGCATAAAAGTGAGACAGAGCGGTGTGATTGTTTGTCCCTTTCTCCGTGCCGGTTTTTTTAGTACTAAACTGTAGAGTTTGCTAAACAACTTTAACAGCGTAGCGATTTAAGGAGCTTACAAGTTGATTTAAGTGAGAAAAAAGTGTTTTGTGAGCTTAAGATTGGTGAATCTTGTTCAGTTCAGTTCTTAGAACAGTTAAAATTTTTATCTAAATGTGTTTAAAAGTCATAAAGATTATTGTATAATCTAAAAATTCGTAATCGTCCTTTCTCACTCGAGGCCACGCCGATCATTAGTCTATAGGTTTCTCTGTCTACGAGTATAATATACAGAAAGTAAAAGTAGTTGGTGGTAGTCTGTGGTCAATGTTTTGATTTTGATTACGAGCACAAGCCCATTTTTAGAAATGGATAATTACTTGGTTTTCTTTTATTTTAATCAGAATCGTCTTTACCCATTTGTATAATATTCTTAGATGTACAATTCATAATGTCCGTAATCATGGAAAACTCTAATTTTAGTGATAAAGTTGAAGTTTACTTTTCGGAACTCGGGCGATGGCAAGTTCATTTTTAATGTGTTACTTACGGTACCAATTATTCTAGTAACTGATACTTAAATATTCAATTTTTATTATTGTAGGAAAGTTTGGCGGAGTATAATATTGGGTCAGTTGTTGTCGTTATTATTAAGCGGCAAATGTATACTAACAACTCTGCTTCAAAGTGCTACATGGCAGTTCCCTACCACTGCTCAACTTGTTATTCCATACATATTATTATTCATTTTATTTACACCTTCTTTACTTTGCACAGACATGAAGAAATTAACTAAGTAAGTTCCTGTTTACTAATATACCTATGTATGGAAACTACTGTTCATTTTCCTTTAGAAATGTTTTTAGTATTTTTTTTTATAGAATAGGGTGACAAACGAGCACACAGTCCACCTGATGGTAAGTGGTTGCTGCGGCCCATAGACATCTACATCTATCCTCCATTAAAAATCAAAATGCAGATGTGTTGTCACCCGTGAGGACTGAGATGGAATGCCTCGTTTCCAGTAAAAAGGGTCTCCGGTTCTCTACACTCACCATACGAAATACAGCAGCATTAAGCTACTATTTCACGCTGGTATTCTGTGAGAGCGTGGTCCTTCCCCGGTCGAGCCGACCCATTCGTGCTACAACTATACTACTAATATAACTGCAGCATGGCTCTACCACGTAAAAACGTATGTATTATATTATTTTTAGTCTTTGGTAATTGTAAAGTGATTTTAAAATTTAGTTTTATATTAAACTAGCTGATACCCAGCATGTGCTACTATGCTAAAAAAAGAAATTAATTTTGTTTATTTCTTGGGGAAAAGAAGGAAATTTTATTGATGTTAGTTTTTTCTTTATATAGTACCTAATGCATTGTTTTAGTGGTCTAAAACCATCGTCGCATTATTGCCTTTCTTTTAACGAAACTGATTTGGGGCACATTGGTTAGATGGATTCAAAGTTTATAATGGACATGGTAGAAACATTTATATGTTTTATATTTTATATTAAAATGGTTTGTACTTCCCAAGTGGTTTCAGGATTGATCTTTATAAATTTGGAGAGGTGGATTTTGTTTTCTGGAAAATAGGAAATTAAATTTTGAATGTAATTGTAAAGACAATATTCTACTAGGATCTTGTGATAAACCTTGATACACTCAAAAAGGTCAAAAAACCTATTAAAACCACATTTCAATTTTTTTCAGGATATGGTGGGTGCTTATAATAGCATGTACTCTAGATGTCGAAGCAAATTGGCTTCTAGTAATGTCCCAAAGGTTTACTTCAGTGTTAAGCTGACAACTGTTAGCATGTAGTGGTGTGGGCGCAGCCTTAGTAGGTGGTGCTTGGAGGGGACAGAGGCTGGGTGTGGTACATGTAGCAGGAGCTACTTTAGGCCTTATGGCTGTTGTTTGTGTTGTATGGGCTGATGTGGAAGGAGCCCCTACTGATGGTATGACTTTTCTCTAGTATTCATATTACTTCTCTTTGAACATTTTTTTATTAATTTTCAACATAAATCTTATTTTGCTAGTTATAACTATATTCATTATTTTTGAACTATGTGACTGTTTTACTAAACCATGCTTTGGATAGTTTATATCTTCAGGCTATGACAGACCACTGCTGTAAATTGGCCTGTCGTATTCTAGAAGAACTTGTTTTAGTAAATCTATAAAATTTTACATGTAATCCTTAAAAATATATTGCAACAATGAAATACAAAGTGTAAAAAAAATAGTGGAATGATGAATTATGTTATATGGAAATTTATTTTAATGATAGGTGACTAATGTTTATGTTAAATGTTTATAATACTTTGAGACTTACCATAATAATTTCTTATATTTACACACTGATATTTTACAGATTATATAATGTTGCAACTGTCTAGTATAAAATTCCAAATTAATTGTTTTCAGGTAAAAATCAGCTTGTGGGTGATATGTTGTGCTTAGCGGGATCCTTGCTTTATGCAATGGTCACTGTTTTGCAAGAAATGATGCTAAGTGAACAATCTTGCTCAGAATATTTGGCTCTGTTGGGGTTTATTGGAGGTGTGGTTGCATGCACACAGACATTTTTCCTTGAATTTAGCGAGCTACACTCTTTCAACTGGTATGAGCTGGATACAGTGGTGCAGTTAGGAAGCTACTGTGGACTGCAAACTGTGTTTCAAATTCTACAGAGCTTCATGCTTCAGGATGCAGGATCAATTGTACTACACCTATCATTCCTTTCGGCGGATTATTACACCCTCATTGCAGGAATGTACATATTCCAGTTCAAGGTAATGTTATGAGCTTTATTGTTGTGTACTGTTTTGATTAATTTTTTCTTTGAAAATATTGTGACAAATTAGTTAACAGTCTATCTGATGTTAAGTGGCTGTTGCACTCCGTGAACAGCTGCAATAAACTTCAAAAAAAGAAGGATCCAAGCATTGTCACTTAAGGACTAAGTTGGAAAGCCTGAAATTATTTTGGTTCTCAAATAAAATATTAAGTTTTCTTTATTTGATAATTATTCAACATAATTTAAATGTTCCATTTAAAAATTGAGCCTTAGAAGAGACAAATTTAAAAAATAAAATTTCCCATATTTTTCAGTTTCATGCGTTGTACTTCTTGTCGTACTTGCTGGCGATGGTGGGAGTGTTTCTATTCACCGCAAGGTCGACTCGTCCGCAGTCGCGCCCGGAAGTTTTGCCGCAACTTGTAAACAATGTCATTCACTCTCAAGATAACGTCTCATTGTAAGGATAATATTTTTTATAATAGGATTGAATTTAAATTAAATTAAAATAAAATCGGATGTTCAACATTGGTCTATAATGAAAACTTAAGTTGACTGCACCGCTTAGCAATCATAGTACCTGGCTACTAAGCCGCAGGTTCAAATCGGCCTCATCTCTTGGTTGGGTCGTCAGGGTTTTGGATACTGAATTCAAGACTAGCCAATCTTAATTGCATAATTGTTACATCAGCCATGGGTGGGTTCAGTGGTTGAGTGCCTCGGTCTTTGCACAAGGCACTATACCCACAGGGCAGTTGGATATAATGGACAATGCTCTCCAGTCCGATATTCGCTCACGGCAGCCAGTCTCAACGAAGACTAGCCTGCTTTGCACAAGACAGAATTATAGTGCACAAGTGAGTGCATGAACACAGGTGTGTTCTCCTTTTTCACTCACTCTCATAGTCTGATGCATTGGCAATTTGACAGGACTGGAGATTATCAGGCACAGGACTAACAGCATAACAACTGACTCCAGGCTGCTCCTGGTAATTTCTTGACAGAAACCCAATAAATAACTGATTTTTTCCCCCCACCTTGGGTCTACATGACCAGTAATCTTGCTTAGGACAACAACACCACGAGACAGTCAAAGCTGAATAATCAATGTTATAATCATAATAGAGCTAATGTTACCTTGTTATATTGGATTTAATTGCAACCTTATGTTGTTAGATTGATACTTAATATACCAGACAAGAATCATTGGTCTGGTCAATTTTTTTATAGAAAAGGGCCAAACTCGCATACGGCTCACCTGATGGTAAGTGATTACCGCCGCCCATGAACAACTACAACACCAGGGGAATTGCAGATGCGTTGCCGGCCTTTTAAAAAGGAGTAGGCTCTTGAAAGTATCTAATTCGTATCAGTCCGAAACAATCTCTGGTGGTAGTCGATTCCACAAGAAAGTTGTGCGAGAAAGAAATCGTACATTGATTAGGGACCAGGTGGCAATTTCGGTATATGATTTCATCATTGTATTCATATTCCACCTATCCACAGCCTCTTATTTGTATCACTTACAAAAAATTGTTAGACCATGAGTAACTTATGTCTTCATGTCAAATCTCACAGTAAAAGAGAAAAAACTAGTGTGATGATAATGTTTTTAAAAAAAATGAAAAACATAGCAGAAAGACCCCATAATACAGCTCTTATATTTAACAGAAAAAATATGGCAAAATTTATTTTTTTCTTTAAATAATATGCTAGAACTTTTTTCCTTTAAAAAAATATGGAAAAAAATCCATTAAATATGGGAGCTTGTATAATTTTCTTAAATATTTACATTTATTATAGTCTTCTTAACAACCAAATCATTTACCACCAGCCCCTTGTTGTGGCAAAGTGTGACTAAGGAGGCAAACAATGTCTTGTTTGCCTCCTTAGTCAGCACCAATGTAAGATGAGCTGCCATGCGTGGCAACTATGGCAAATATCCCCTGTGTGAGGTATTCTATATAGAGGCCTGTGTTCAACAGTGAACTTTGATAGGTTGCAATGAATGGTTAATATTTTTTTTTTAAATAATAGGGTGACAAACGAGCACACAGTCCACCTGATGGTAAGTGGTTGCTGCGGCCCATAGACATCTACATCCATCCTCCATTAAAAATCAAAATGCAGATGCGTTGTCTCCCGTGAGGACTGAGATGGAATGCCTCGTTTCCAGTAAAAAGGTTCTCCGGTTCTCTACACTCACCATACGAAATACAGCACAGCATTAAGCTACAGTTTCAAGCTGGTATTATGTGAGAGCGTGGTCCTTCTCCGGTCGAGCCGACCCATTCGTGCTACAACTATACTACTAATATAACTGCAGCATGGCTCTGCGACGTATAAATAATAACCCGAAATATTTCTTTTTTAGGGAATACACTGTACCAACACTCGATTGTATACCTATAGAGGGCTTGGAGCCGCCAATGAGCAGAGACACGACATTCACGTCGTTTCTTGGAGGCCCACAAAACAGTATACCCAATGGTAACATAATCTCGGAACAAACAGTTGGAATCCAATATACTACTAAGGACTCTTCTTAATGATATGTACTTCATAGAGTATTTATTTGATAAATCAAAGGTACAGTCTGTTCGCTCAGAAACGGTCCCCTTGTGTCGCGCCGCATTGGCACGTGCCGCATCTTGTCAAAGGCACCGCTGCGACACCAAAGATCGCCGTACACCACCTGGAAATTTTGAGATTTTAAAACGGAGCACTGTAATGAAAGGTTCTTTCCTTTGCTCTAAATAATAAACATAAGTTAAGCACTTGTGTTTATTATTTATATTCATATATTATTACAATAACTATAAGAATAAAATAGTAATCAATTTTATTCTTAATATAGAAAAACATTTATTTAATAAACACCGTAATAAATAATAAAATAAAAGCAAAATAATATGTGCGCCTCCTGGTGTACCGACACTATCTTAGCGAATAGATTTTTTGGCTCCGTGCTCCGTGATATAAATCAAATTGCAATGACCAAAATCTTATTTTTGTTAATTTCTGTCATTAATAATATAGATATGTATGACAGGAATTTATATCTTAAAATTAAATTAGTTAATTTATCCTGAAGCTTAACTTGGCATTTAACATAATTATTGCTTAAAATAAATGTAGGTAAAAATATTTGAAGTTGATAAATTAGGTAATAAGGCCCATAATTTATGTATGTGCTATATAAAACTGACCTCTTTTGCATTGTTTAATTGATAACTAACTTGTTTCAACTTTGAAATGACATAATTTAAATATCTCCTGCATTTAAAATCAACAGTTTATGGTTAATAAGGAGTGATTAATTAGACTAAAGCTAGACCTAACACAATTAAAATTAGACATTTAGAATAATAAATAATTAGTAGACATTAATAAGAACTTGTCAGTAATCCGTATTGTATTTTAAAACAGGGACCGTATTATACATAGGTAGGGGTTATAAGTAATGTCTATCTAAAAACAAAAAACACTTAACAACACAGTTTTGAAAATTTACAAATAGTCTTAAAATTTTGAACCAATGAGTATAATGTGAAATTATGGAGATTAATATCTGAAAAACAGCGCGTAAGTAGTAGTAGTATAGAGCCACGCTGCAGCTATATTATGGTTGTAGCAGTAATGGGTTGGCTCGACCGGGAAAGGATCACGCTCTCACAGAATACCGGCATTAAATAGCAGCTTAATGCTGTTGTGTTTCGTGTGGTGAGTGTAGGGATCCGTAGACCCTTTTTGCTGGAAACGAGGCATAGCATCTTACTCCTAATAAATGTATCTCATTTGATTCTTAATCGATATGTAATGTCTATGGGCCACAGCATCCACTTATCATCAGGTGGACTGTGTGCTCGTTTGTCACCCTTATTCTATATAAAATAAAAGCAGGGTTTCTCAAAGTGGGGTACATGAACCCCTGAGAATTCGCTAAATTATGGAGATTAATATCTGAAAAACAGCGCGTAAGTAGTAGTAGCATAGAGCCACGCTGCAGCTATATTATGGTTGTAGCAGGAATGGGTTGGCTCGACCGGGAAAGGATCACGCTCTCACAGAATACCGGCATTAAATAGCAGCTTAATGCTGTTGTGTTTCGTATGGTGAGTGTAGAGATCCGTAGACCCTTTTTGCTGGAAACGAGTCTATGGGCCACAGCATCCACTTATCATCAGGTGGACTGTGTGCTCGTTTGTCACCCTTATTCTATATAAAAAAGCAGGGTTTCTCAAAGTGGGGTACACGAACCCCTGAGAATTCGCTAAATTGTCGTTGGAGGTTCGTGACAAGATTCACTTTATGGTGCCTGATTGATTGACAAATTACACGTGCGACTAACCACCACCACATTTGCTTGTGGCTGCGATGTTACACAATTGTAATGGTAATGGTGGTGGTGGTCCGTCGTGCGTAGAAGATTCTTCCTATTTGGTCACCATCATACTAAAACATATTGCTCTATATGAGAGTATATTTTTAAATAATAAACCTTATTTTTGTCCTTAGGCAATATTTTAAGGGTTGAATATTGTCTGGGAAATTTAATAGGGTTACGGAGAGCTACAAATCAAGACTGCTCTAAAGAAATCGTTCCTTTATACCCGCACAATTCTATTTGCTACAATGGTATACTGGAACAACTATGCTATCCAAGTATGCTCTCTCAGTAGTAAAAGGATCTAATTTTACTACTGAGTTAGAATACCTGGAGGATTATGCCGGGGTCACACACATCGCGATAACGCGAATATTAACATATTCGTTAATACTTCGTCAATTCATGGGAGCATTTTATCGCGATTAACTTCGCTTGTACGGCGACACTTCGGACGGCCCACAGACATCGTGCGTAGTGGACGCGTGGAATTAAATTAGGATTTACGACGTATTTTCGACAGTTGTAATTGTTTGAATTAATGGGAAGATAAATAATTTGATGAGAAATTTTGAATAAATAACGCTGGTGTCTGATGTGTGACGTTTTATATTATCACCAGCGATCCACCCCGACTTCACGCGGGTGATTTCTGTATCTCGACAACAGCGACACCTACCTGGTACAGTTGTGAATCTAAACCATCCAGGGACTCACTCAAACACAAAAAACTATCAAAATCGGTCTAACCGCTTAGGAGGAATTCAGTGACAAGACAAGTGTGTTCACATGTACATAAGAATTATATTATAAATAAAGGTAAAGATAATAATATTAGAAAATTGTACCTTTGTTTACTTTATTGATCGCTCACAAAACAACTAACACGTTTTTTTTTTTGTAATGATTCCTTAAGACGCTACTCCCAGCAAACGACCTTGAGCGTTCGGTCCTATACATTACACGCGCTCTCGCTAATATACATATATCGCGTAAGAAATACGCCCATACTTGATTTTTTTTTATAAAATCGAATTTTAGTCCTTTGAAAAATTTAAAAAGATCAAAATGTTCATTAATAAACTTACCAATCCATTAGTGTCCATCGCAAAATATAATAATGCTTACTTTATGAGGAGATGCATGTTATCAATAGTTATTTCGCATTTCTGTGGTTCAGTTGTAGGAAGATTCATCAAATATTTACTCCTTTAAAAAAAGTTGGAATTGGTTATTATGGAATCAAGATTATGTAGAAATTTAATAGATTTTTTATAAGTTGATATAATTATCTTTTTAATACCAAGTAGATAGCTCCTAAAAACCATTCAAATAACGACTAACGCGGCATATTGCTCATCAACGCCCCTTAATACTATAGGTAAAACCTAATTACTAAATTGTTTTTTTTTTTGTAATAATAAGTAGGTATTGTAATGTTGTAAACCATATAATATTTGGCATGAATAGAAAATGTTTCCATGTTTATTTGTAGGTCCCTGTGTATAGTGTTAAATTAACCCAGTAAGACTATTTATTATATCTCGAGGTATGAAAATGAAAACTGCCATGTGCTCGAATTTTTAAAAATTTTAAACCATTTTAATAGAAAACTTTGTATGGACTTTTAAATTTCTATATCGAATTGCGACATTAGACTCTAATAATTAGACTAAGGAATTCTAAGAAATATATATAAAAACATATGTGTAATGTATGTAATGTATATGTAAATTATTTGAGAACACTCCAAAAAACTAGTATATTGAGTTGCTGATATTTAATTTTTGATAGAGGTATTTACATAGAAAAATAGGTTAAAGAATATTTTACAAAAACGAAAATGTCACCATTTAAACTTACTGCAGATATTAAAATATATTTGATATGTTATAATAATTTTGTTAAGTGGAAATTTTAAAATGTCGTTGCTCGTGCTAACTACATTTGTAAATATTTTATTTCTTGTTAAAAATTATTGCATATGTCTTAAGGCTGTAATTTGTTTTGTTCCTATTAATTGATTGAGCTTAAAAAAGGAAGAGGTTATTATTTGGACTGTATGTTGATTTTATAATGTATGCCGTAACACTATAACTGAGATTATAAAACCCATTTCTGTTTTTTATCCCCAAATACAGAGTGGTCTTTTATAATTTTTATAATTGTTGTTGTTGTTTTATAATGTTACTCTTTAACAGCCCGCAAAATTTATTGGTGAACTTATGGCTCTTCTACTTCAGAATTTACCATAAACGGCGCGATCGACAGATGTATTGTCGAAGGCAGTACCACCTTAAGTTGTACCTTTACATCACTTCCCGTTTTCGGTCTCGCTATTTTACATCTGGCATACACGATTAGTTATTTCGGTAGTCGCCTCTTATGAAATGGACAGGAGTGGACGAAATAAGGTGAACGTAATTGTTATATTTTTTGCATATTATACAGGGTGTTACTGTAAACACCGTTATCCTTGAAACCAATGGTTTGGTTTCACTTATAGAACGTAAATTCCATGAAAAATAACATTTTTTTAGTAAAATCTCAATTTTTCCTTAATTCCTCATTTTTGCCTGTCCTAAGCCCGGATGAAAGTACGAAGGAAAAGTTACATCACAGGTTATGTGTACCTATTGTTTTTATTGGAATGATGTGTCGGTAGCTAGTGGGGGCGGTGATCTTTACAGTGATTACGTCACTCGGGCGCTTAGGGTATCCATGAATTTACGGACGGTGTCGGACAGAAACTTTTTAAATTTTATGAAAGAAAATAGCGTTTTTTTTTTTTATTCATTGAATTTACGTTCTATAAGTGAAACTAAGCACCTGTTTTCAAGGATAACGGTGTTTACACTAACAACCTGTATACCTCTGATGTTCCAAAGTTTAAATGAGATCTCATTATAACAATTATATTTTTTTACATAAAGTTCATTATTAGTTGTTATTCATTGTTGCTTTTTGTATAGTTGTATCGATGTTTTGTGTCACGTTGGCGAGTTGACTTCGCTTGTGAGTTTGGTGCACATGCACATTGTTTTAGTGTGCATAAACTCGACGAGTTAAAAATAAATTCTAAACTACTGGCTAATGTTAAAAGCAGTTACGCAACAAGTACTCTACACGTAGAGACTCTACACATCACAACTACAAGACGCG